CACAGGAGCGGACTGCGCCCATGTGCCGCATGCCTGGGGCCGACGCTGCTCCTGTGCCATGTGCCCAAGGGCAGGGACGCCCATACACTGTGCACCTGGGGCCGGCGCCGCTCCTCTGCCACGTGCCCAAGGGCGGGGCCACCCATACGCCGCGCACCTGGGCCCGGCACAGCCCGTGCACCTGGGGGCGGGGCTGCCCATGTGCTGCGTGCCCGGGGCCAGCTCTGATCACTTGGCGGGCGCACAGAAATGGCCCGGTGGGCACCATGGCGCCCGCGGGCACCGTGTTGGGGACCACTGCTCTATCCCATGCCCACACCACTCACTGCCTCCTAGTGAATGGGAGCTGGACACAGTCCGGAGGACTGGAGGGGAGCCAGAGGCTGGGGGTGGGGACTGCCCAAGCTGATGTTGAGACTGTGGTGGGGGGAGGGGCTGGCTGGAGGATGGAGATGATGCTGCCTGAGCCGCTGCTAAAGCCCACGTGTTGGGGGAAAGGCTGGGGGCTGGTGCTGGCTGCATTCCTCCAGTTCACCATTCACTGCCACCTGTGCCTCTAGCCTGCACCCCTGAGGCTGCAGATAAGTGTCCGTATGTGCGGACGTTGTAACTCAGATGTTTGGAACGTGGAGAATGCCTGTACTGAAATTCACAGCTGGTCAAAAGAAAACTAGAAACATATTGATAATTTACTCTGTGCTTCCCTGCTGGGACTTTGAAAATTTGTAAAATCGGTTGCTCAGGATAAGTAACATATCTGTAACTTGTGATTGCCAAAAATCAGTGTTCAGTAATTTAATTGGAGGTCTGTTATTTTCTTGTTTATCATCAAATTAGTATTATCCTTAAGATGTATCCTTATATACAAAACCCAAGATTTTGTTGTTGCTGTTGTTCATTGAGCATATTTGTTCCGTTCTAAGTTGAGAGAATTTTTCTGTCTAAAATTACCATTAGTGTTGTTACTCTAAGGGGCTTGTCTATCCGTGGTGAGGATGAGAGGAAGTGCAGTGTAGCTGATGCAGAATACTTCGTAGTTATCCCTATGATAATTGCTGCTCCTGGAAGTGGCTGGCATGTCCCTGAGGCCTCTGAGAGAGACAGAGAGGGAGTCTCCACGTGCTGTCCTTGCCTGAAGACACTACTACAGCTCCCATTGATCAGTAACGGGGAACTGTGGCCAGTAGAAGCTGTGGACTCAGTGCCTGTAGATGAGGGACAGCCCATGGAGCCATTGCTGTATGTGCCAGCTGCTTTCAAGAGTGGTGCAGGGCCACGGCAGGAGTAAGCCTGCCTTAACTCCGCATCCTGAATCCTTGTCCCAGCCCTGAACCACCTCCTACACCCAACCTCTTGCCCCAGACATGAGCCCCCCCTGCACCCAAACTCCTTCTCAGAGCTTGCACACTGAAACCCCTCCTGGACCCCAATATCCCACCCTAGGCTAAGCCTGGAGCTCCTCCCACACACCGAACACCTTGGCCCAAGACCAGAGCCTGCACCTCAACCTCAGCCAGGTTAAAGCGGGTGAGGATGGGGGAGAAAGAGGATGGAATGAGCAGGGTGAGGCCCTGGAGCAGAGTCAGGGCCTCAAAGAAGGGGTGGGAAGGAGGTGGGGCAAGGGTATTTGGTTTTGAGATAGATCTGACATTGCACTTAAGTTAAAAAGCTTGGAGACCACCGTTGTAATATATAATTATTGTACTGGGTATATTTGTTGAGAGACATTTCTATAGAACAGTTGAATGTTATGTATATAATGTATTGACAGGTTGTTTTTGAGTGGGATCACAGTTTTGCAGGGGAAAGTTTTAATATGAGGATTGGGGGAGAATGATACCACTTCCTAGCTACGAAGTGAAACCCTTTAATCAGAGAGGATGTTTATACATGATATAGCTTTTTTTTAAGGATAAACAACATGTTTTAGACATCAAGACAGTCTGTTTTTCACTTTCTTCTCACCCTAGTTTTGTTTTAAGGACACTTGATCTCACTCTGGAAATGTGCACAGCTTGTTATTCCTAGGAATTGACAAATCATTGACATTTTAGATTTTTAAAGCTGAAGCTTCCCTTTAGTAAGCTCGTTAAGTTCACAATTTAGAAGATAAGTTGTGTATCACTAAGGCCCCTTCCATCAAAAATTATTGCCTGCACTATCCTAATGGTTGCAAAGTTGAAAATCATTTGTTATTTAATTTTGACTCTTCATCGGACACTTCTAGGCAACCAGAGTTTTAGTAACCATAAAAGGCTCTGGGAAGATCTTTTTAAATCTACACCCTAACCCCTTTTATTAATCCCAGATTTCTGCCTTACTGCTATGCTTCCCAAACTCCATCTCTGATGGAAAATAAATTCAGATGAGTTGTGTAGCTTGGACTCAGTTGTATTCTGCTTCAATCATTTTGTGCTTCTGTGCGTTACATTTGCCTGAAGTAGTTCTTAAATTTTCTACTTAGGCATAGCCATGAAAGTGAGGGGTCCAGTCCTCCTCCAGTGTTGTTTTACAGCACAACAGGATACTGTGCAAGCTTTTAAGTGTTGAGGTGCAACTGAATACATACATCTGTGCGAGCATAGTGTATACATACACCCTGAGCAAGCTAGGTACCCAAAATGGCAATTTGTGCTTTCAAATATATGATTTGCACATACAGGCAGTCCCCGGGTTACGTACAAGATAGGGACTGTAGGTTTGTTCTTAAGTTGAATTTGTATGTAAGTCGGAACTGGTACATATTGTAGGGGAATTCTAGCCAAATATTTCTCCAGAGCTCAGTTTCATTCTCCCACATCTCACTTCCCTCAGTCCTTTATTCTCAAGCTGAGGTGTCTGCTGAGAAAAGCCGCTCTGCGTCTCCCTGGTCTGCTAGGGGGAAGCAGCTAGTGCGGGGTTGCCTCACCCCGTTTGTAAGTAGGGATCCGATGTAAGTCGGATCCATGTAACCCGGGGACTGCCTGTACATACAAATGAGCTGTGTAAGGCTGCTGCACCACATTTACAATATTTTAATATTTTAAAAGGCAAACAAAGTCTTGGTTGAAGAAATCTCTAGTACATGTGGGTCTGACTGGAATGAATAACACAGCTTTAAACACTAATTAATCTTTTCTTTAGAAATAACTCATTGTTTAGCTTGATGGCATCATATTAGGTGTACAAATGTGCCCTCATAACAGACTAATTAACATTCATAATAGGACTAATTTAATTGTCCTCATTTACATACTCCTGGTCTACTAATGACATTTCATTGTGAAATTACACTGCTGAATAAGGTAAAATATCTTAAAGTACCTTTTACT